ATAACTAATTTTGTGACTGTTAAAAATCTTAATGTAAATATCTGATCTGTGACCCCTGTGAGGAGTTCAACCTACAGGTTTAGAGTTACTGACTTAGAGTATAAATGAAGGAACAGAACCATGTCTGAGACTTCCTGTTCCCATCATCCTAGCAGACATCTTGGAGGGTGGAAAGAAAGCTGGGGTTGTAAAATAAATTCAGTGGTATGGGAAAATATAGGGGTGTGGTGGTTTTTCTGGAACTCAGTGGGTTTAGGGGCCACATAAACTTCATGATCTAGATAGAGGCTCCTCCCAGATTCATAGAAAGAATCTGTTGAGGGGAAGGAGACTGACCAACCAAGGAGACATGTTTTGCTATCTGCAGGTTGTGCAGAGACCTTCCAGGATGTAGCTTTTGTGAGTTGTCCCCTGTGTTGAGTCACCTGCTTTTGAGTCATTTCTACTCCTATATATATCCCCTCACCAATACTCCAGCTAATCATGCCAATAAATACTTATTGGTTCACTAACTGGGATTCCAGTGCAGTTGTTACTTTAGTTTGTCACAGGTTCCTTATTTGGGGTGAGTAGACATGTGTGTACATCATTGTGAGTGTCACCTCCCTTGGAAATGTTTGTCACACAATATGGACAAGTACAAATGAGTTTGTGTCTACTTCCTGGCCAGCTTAGCAAACAGTATAGGTGTGGATCTTAGTTTGGAGGGTACTCACTGATGTTTCCAGGCTGTGTCTCAGGACAGTGCTAGGTTTTTGCTGTTGTTGGTTTTTTTTTTTTTTTTGTAAACTTGACACAACTTGAGTCATCTGAGAAGTGCAACTACAATTGAGAAAATATCTTTATCAAATTGGATGGTAGGCACATCTGTAGGGGCATTTTCTTCATTAGTGATTGATGTGGGAGGACCCAGGCCACTGTGGATAGGGCCACCATCAGCAGGTGGTCCTAAGTTGTTTAAGAAAGCAGGTTAAGACCAAGCCAGTAAGAGCATTCCTCTATGGCTTTTGCTTCAGTTTCTGCCCTGACTTTTCTTCATGATGGACTTCAACTGTAAGCTGAATAAAACATTTTATCCCCAAGTTGCTTTTTGTCATGTTGTTTTATCTCAGTACCAGAAAGAAAACTAGGATGGAAGGCATTTTCTCCTAAAGCACTGGACTATGAGGTTTATGGCTCTTTACAGGTAATTTATATAGCACCTACTTCTCTCACACATGGCCTTTACTGAACCATGCTCTGGTGTGTGTGGCCCAGATATTCCTCTCTCTGTCTCTGTCTCAACTGCCTTCCTTTCCCCTCATTCCCCCTTCCCTCCTTCTCTCCATATAATTATTCTGCAAAAATGGAAGCTACATTTTTAGACTAAGTACAGACAGGGCATCAGCAATAGCAGTAGTGCAGTGCAAGTAGGATAGCTGTGAAGAGGTTTATAGTTACAGAACAGGGGTTTGTCTGGATGGTTTGTAAGTATTGGCTAGCTTGGTTTTCTCTTACAGTAGTTTTTAGACTAAAGATGGAAGTATAATTCGAGTTTATAGACAGGAAGAGATATGACCACTTTGATTAAGAAAGACCAAGGTTATGATTAAACATCGAATTTATTCAAATTTTAATTTTATTTTTTCTCCAAATATAGAACATTTATTTTCTGTTTAAAAAAATGGGGGCACTGATGCATATTTAAATAAGTTTCCTGCTTTGGAGGCAGCCTCAAATCCATCTCTTCCTGTTTTCTACAGTATAATCCCAAGGAATGTGTTAGTAGTATGTTACTCCCAAACCCATTAAGTTTGAATTTTAATTAATATCTTAAGACATCAGAAGCTGTCACATTCATCAAAATCAAGCTTCTTAAACAGACCATGTATCAGAATATCCTCATAGAAACAATATGTATTAAACCCAAAATAAAATGTCATTCCAATAACATTTAACCCACCGTGGCTGATGTGGGAGTGATTTCTTATTAATAAAGAAACTGCCTAGGCCCCTTGATAGGTCAACCCTTAGGTGGGTGGAGTAAACAGATCAGAATGCTGGGAGAAAGAAAGCTGAGTCAGGGAGTCGCCATGATTCTCCCACTCCAGACAGACGCAGGTTAAGATCTTTCCTGGTAAGCCAGCTCGTGGGCTACACAGATATTTAGAAATGGGTTAGATCGATATGTAAGAGCTAGCCAATAAGAAACTGGAACTTATGGGTCAGGCAGTGTTTGAAAGAATACAGTTTCCGTGTAATTATTTCAGGTAAAGCTAGCCATGTGGGAGCCAGGGCTGCCAGAATGCAGCCCTGCCACTCCTTCAACACATGGCAATGAGTCTTCAACAATAAAATAGTTCATTATGATGAGTGTAGTGGCATTAGATAGCATTAATTTGCTTTCCATATGCTCAACTTGACTTTTAACTGTAATATGGAAAGTAAAATGCTGGGCCATAATTGGCCCTCAAAAATGGATGGAAATAGAAAACACTATCCTGAGTGAGGTATCCCAGACCCCAAAACATGAACATGGAATGTACTCACTCATAATTGGTTTCTAGCCATAAATAAAGGACATTGAGCATATAATCTGTGATCCTAGAGAAGCTAAATAAGAAGGTGAACCCAAAGAAAAAACATATAGTTATCCTCCTGGATATGGGAAGTAGACAAGATTGCCGGGCAAAAACTGGGAACTTGGGGGTGAGGTGGCATGGGTCTAAGGGGAAATGGGGTGAGAAATGTGAGAAGGGGAAAACTGGGGGAGCTTGGGGGAATGGGATGGTTGGGATAAAGGAAGGGTAGATATGGGAGCAGAGTAATATTTAATTAAGGGAGCCATCTTAAGGTTGGCAAGAGACTTGACTCTAGAGGGGCTCGCAGGTGTCCAGGGAGATGTCCCCAGCTAGTACCTTGGGCAACTGAGGAGAGGGAACCTGAAATGACCCTATCCTATAGCCATACTGATGAATATCTTGCATATCACCTTAGAACCTTCATCTGGCGATGGATGGAGATAGAGACAGAGACCCAAATTGGAGCACCGGACGGAGCTCTTAAGATCCAAATTGAGGAGCAGAAGGAGGGAGAACATGAGCAAGGAAGTCAGGACCACGAGGGATGCACCCACCCAGTGTGACAGTGGAACTGATCTATTGGGAGCTCACCAAGGCCAGCGGGACTGGGACTGAATAAGCATGGGGTGAAACCGGACTCTCTGAACATGGCGGACAATGAAGGCTGATGTGATGCCAAGGACAATGGCACTAGGTTTCGATCCTAATATATGAACTTGCTTTGTGGGAGCCTAGCCTGTTTGGATGCTCACCTTCCTGGACCTGGATAGAAGTTCGAGGACCTTGGACTTCCCAGGGCAGGGAATCTGGACTGCTCTTCATTCTCGAGAGGGAGGGAGAATGGAGTGGAGGGGAGGGAGAGAGGGGAAGGAGAGTGGGGGGACGGAGTGATGTGTGGGAGGAGGGGGAGGGAAATGGGAAACGGGGAGGAGACGGATTTTTTTTTTTAAATTTTAATGTTTAATAAAATTTAAAAAGAAAAAAAAAATGCTGGATGACAAATCATACCCCAGGTCGAGGGATGTAACTAAGTATACTTGTCACAGCAGTCATGTTCAAGGGGTCCTCTCTCCGAGTGGTTGAAGCACATACGGAATGTGTGATCCCTATTCTTGGTTACCAATTTGACTACCTCTGACATTAACTAACACCAAAAAAAAAAAAAAAAAAAAAAAGGAGGGCATACTTCTAGGGATTTTTGCTTGATTTGAAATAGAGAGATCCACCTCTAATCCAGATCTATGATTGTGGGTCCTGGTGAGTTGCAGGTCTGGAGACCTTTTACTCTTTGTTGTTACTCATCAAATAGCTGCATATTGCCCAACTCTGTGTTTGACTTAAATTTGTAGTGATCATTAGATAAAACCCTTTAAGGATTTGAGCTTCCACCATCCTAGAGGGTACGAATATCCTAAGGTATTATATGAAGCCCGCAACAGAGAATTTTATGCTGTGCTCTGTACTGATGAGCTGAGTCCTACAAACACTTTTAAAGAAACACCAAAATTTGTTACTTTTTTGTTTTATTTCTAGAAAAATCTTATGAAATTGTTACCATATTAGGATGTTGTGTTTGGGACAAACAAAATTTGTGTTCTTTTTCCACGGTCACTAACATTTGGCTCCCGAATAGACTTTGTCTTTAATTGAGCTTTGCGGTTTTGTATCAATATAATCTAAGGGTGTCTTCTCTCTCTCTCTCTCTCTCTCTCTCTCTCTCTCTCTCTCTCTCTCTCTCTCTCTCTCTCTCTCTCTAGTCCTTCCCTTGGTCTACATGACTTTTGGTCACCAACTAGCATTGGCTTATTGACTGGCCTTCTTTGTATGAACTGGGAGGGCAAACTATCTCAGCTGTGTTTATAAATTGCCAAATGGTGTTGTGGAAGGAATTTTTCTATGAATGCTGCAGATTAGATTAAGGTATTTTTAGTTAAATGAACACTGTACTGAAGGAAACAGGATTGCTTGCTTAAAACTCTGAAATTCATCTCTCCATGAATTATCTTATCCCTACCATTGTTCTTTGCCATTTTGAAGATATGAACAATGTTCACTTCTATCAGAAAAATATATATTTGAAAGGCAAATTATGTATTTGAAAATTGAGAATACAGTTTCCTGACATCATATTGAAGAACCATTGACATCAATATTTGTTAGATTTTTATGGCTAACAAATAAAACTATTGTAAGACTATCAAGATGGTTAGACTATTAAGACTAGTTAAGAAATCCTGGGAACTTAGTTTATTAAAACCAGAGGATGCCTTTGTAAAGCATCAGAATGTAATCTGTTTTCATTTTGTTAGCACATGGCATGAAGGGATTCAATCAGATTCTGGAGAAACAATGTTTTCATTTCTTTCCCATGCTCACTACATATCGCTTCAGAGTATTTAAACTGTGTTTATTATAAGGCTAAAAAAGAAGAAGAAACATAGTTCAATGCATTTACTCAAAGTTATATTGTTTTGGTGCTATTGGAAGTAAATAAGAACATGAAGAAATCAATGCAGGACTTCATGAGCAAGGAGAGGATGGATTCAGGTGATGCAGAAGTTTGCCTTTTCAGGGAAAGCTTCCCTGAAAGGATTAATTGTACATTCCAAACCAAAGGCAATTCATTAGGAAGATTGCTTGAGGATATACTTAGCAATAAATTTTACGCAAAGCATGGTTTCCTTGCATGTTGGCTTTATCTGGGATTCTGGAAGAAGAAAACCAAATTTGCCTTTATCACGGAGCTCAAAGGCAAATGTGTGCTTGATGCCTGCTTTGTAAGCCCAGTCTAAAGAAGAACCTGATGTTGGATCTGCAAAACAGAATCAGTAAATATTTTATTAGAGGCAAGATTATTGTTTGAAGACATGGAGATTGTTGATGCAGAAGAGATGGCTCAGTTGGTAAAGTATTTGCAGTTTAAAGATTAAGTCCTGAACTTGAATTCTCAGCACCCATAAGAAAGTCAGATATGGTGGCTCATGCCTGTAATGACAGTATGTTGATAGGATCCCCATCCCATCAACCATAGGATTGGTTGACCATCCAGTTTCGCCAGCTGGTGAGTTTCAGTTTCTATGAGTGGCCTTGTCTCAAAAAAATAAAGTATAAAACAATAGAGAAAGAAACCCAGTGTTGGCTTCTGGCCTCCAAACTCAATACACAGACACACACACGCACACACGTACACACACACACACAAACATACACACTCAAAATTGCATGTGTAAAATTAACAATAAAAGTATTTATATGTATGGGTAATTGCAGTAATGTCAAAATAGTGTAAGCAGTACAGAAAGCACTTACAATCTACCATATATTTTAAATATGTACCACATTCAAAACTTTTAAATTTTTCTTTCCTTTATTACTTTAAAAATTAGTGTTAATATATAAAGTGATTTCATTATGAAATTTTAATATATATCTGCCCTTATAACTTTTTCACACTTTTGATATCTTGTCATTTATGCTCTCAGAGAAAATCATTTAGAGTTATAAGACCAAGAATATTCAAGTTAGTTACTTTAAGGATATATTTAATACTCTAATTTTAAATTTTATATCAATTTTTTGAAACTTTACTAAAGTTGTTATTGGAAAAATGCTTAAAGATATAAACATCTATAGAGAGGTTTCTCTCAATGTATATGTGTGTATATATTTACAATATGTATGAAACTGCATGCTAACTATAGATGCATACACATACAACATACTGTAAGTGCATGTATGTATTTTCCTTTATGTAATGCAATAGTACTTTCGTGTGTGAAATCACTGATGTTTTATGATACACTTAATTGATAACAATATTTTAAGTTTGGAAAAGAAGGATTTAAAGATTTTATAAAGAAAGAAGGGATATTTGAGTGGGAAGGGTTACAGTTTAATTATTCAGTAGCTACTTATGGTCACTCATATGCCCAATAGACTCTACATGGTCTGAGCACAGTAATGAATCTATCTAATTCCAATAGTACAGAGATTTAAACAAGAGCATGGTGTGAGGCCAGTGTGGGATACATTGTAAGGCCTTACCTCAAACAGATAAATAAACAATGCCCAAAACAAACTTAAAACAAAAACACACTACCTAGCTAACCAAAACAAACCCAGAACAATACATTTATTTGTCCAAGAGAGGGCAGGCAATACAGGGCTACCAAGGTGACTTGTGGTTTCAGGATCTTGTAATTTAAAGGAGAGACATAAGGGTAAATACCTTAGAGCAGAGCACAGCTGTAATTGCCACAGGAAAGGAGGACTACTTGGTAAAGATTTGAAAGAGAAGCAATGTTGTGCTTGATGAGCAGGACTCATACTCAGACATGTCAAATTCCACTTTCATTATGCAGAACATATTAGGGAACTAAAGAAAGAGAAATATAGAAAGAGGTGGAAGTAGAGAAAGACATCATTCTGGCAGATGAATACCAACAGTGAAAAATCTAGGCGCATTTTAGGGACCTGTGAGGTCGGTTTGGGCTGGAGTTAAATAAGCAGTGAGTGGGAAATTTTGTAAATCTTATAGGTTCAGACTGGTTTTTGAGAAGCAATAGGCACTTTCATATTCTTTATACTATATGCAATAAAAAGCCTTGGTGAGAAAGTCTAGACAGCAAAATGGTAGGCACCATGAAGTGAAAAGCAGAGAGAGCTAGAATAGAGACAACATTCCAGGAATAGCAATGGGGTAATAAATAGCCTAATTTGATAAAACTATCTAAAATTTCGATCTATGTAGTGGGGAAAATCTGTATTGCTAACAAAAATTGGGTGAAGTAAGGAAATGGGAGGACCAAAGAAGAGAAAGGAGGTGGCATTTGGACTTATTAAGGAGACATTCGGGAAGGATGCTGGGGAAGTTAAACTGTTACTAACCAAGTGTTATGTGCAGAGGTGATGCATATATACTTAGGATTATTTCCTTGTTGGAGGATGGATCTCTGGTTTTTCTCTGATACTATCTGATATTTAACATAACTTCCTCTTTCATTTTGCTTAATTTTTATCCTTTTTATTTCAAGAAGTCTATATAGTTAGATTACAAATCAGCTTTTTATTGTTTTTATTCAGCTATATAATTTTCTCTGCATCCCTCCCTTCCTTAGCCTTTTCTTCTACTCTCTCCCATGCTCCCAATTTATTCAGATCATGTCTTTTTCAACTTCACATATACATTAGATCCATGTGTGCCTCTCTTAAGGTTCTCTTTATTGTCTAGATCCTTTGGGATTATGAATTGGGGACTTTTTTTGCCTTATGTCTAAAAGCCACTTATGAGTGGCTTTACATAAAATACATATAATATTTATATTTCTGGGTATGGGTTCCCTCACTCAATATGATGTTTTCTTGATCTATCTATATGCCTGAAAATTTTAAGATGCCATTTTTTTCTGCTGTGTAGTACTTCATTGTGTAAATGTACTATATTTTCCTTATTCATTCTTTGGTTGAGGGGTATTTAGGTTATTTCCAGGTTCTGTCCATGACAAATAATGCTGCTATGAATATAGTTGAGCACATGTCCTTGTGGTATGACATGTAGCAGGATAAAAGATTAACTCAAAAAATCAGTAGCTCTCCTTTACACAGATGATAAATGGACTGAGAAAGAAATTAGAGAAATATCACCCTTCATAATAGCCACAAATAAAATATCTTGGAATAACTCTAACCAAATAAGTGGAAGACCTATATGACAAGAAGTTTAAATCTTTGAAGAAAGAAATTGAAGAAGACACTGGAAAGTGGAAAGATCTCCCATGCTCTTGGGTAGATAGAATTAACATAGTAAAAATGGCAGTCTTACCAAAAGCAGTCTACAGATTCAATCCATTGCCCTTCAAAAGCAATCTACATACAGATTCAAAGCAATCCCCATCAAAATTCCAGCAAAATTCTTCACAGATCTTGAAAGAACAACAATCAACTTCATATGGAAACAACAACAACAAAACCAGAATAGTCAAAACAATCCTGTACCATTAAAGAACTACTGGAGGCATCACAATCCCCAACTTCAAACTCTTCTATAGCGCTACAGTGCTGAAAACAGCCTGGTATTGGCATAAGAACAGACAGGAGTACCAATGTAACCGAATATCAGTCCACACACCTATGAACACCTGATTTTTGACAGAGGAGCAGAAAATATAAAATGGAAAAAAAGCATATTCAACAAATGGTGCTGGCATAACTGGATATCAACATGTAGAAGAATGAAAATAGATCCATATCTATTGCCATGCACAAAACTCAAGTTCAAATGTATCAAAGACCTCAGCATAAAACCAACCACACTGAGCCTCATAGAAGAGAAAGTGGAAAGTATACTTGAACACAATGTCACAGGAGAACACTTCTTAAATATGACCCCAGTAGCACAAACATTGAGACAAACAACTAATAAATGGGTCCTTCTGAAATGAGAAGCTTCTGTAAAGCAAAGGACATGGTCAACAAGACGAAATGGCAGCCTACAGAATGGGAAAATATCTTCACCAACCCCACATCAGGCAGAGGTATGATCTTCAAAATATACAAAGAACTCAAGAAATTTTCCATCAAAAGAACAAATAATCCAATAAAAAACAGGGTACAAACCTGAACAGAAAGCTCTCAATAGAGGAATCTAAAATGGCTGAAAGACATTTAAGAAAATGTCCAACATCCTTAGTCATCAGAGAAATGAAAATCAAAAACAACTCTGAGATTCCCTCTTACACCTGTAAGAATGGCCAAGATCAAAAACTGATAACTTATGCTGGGGAGGATATGGGGTAAAGGGAACACTCCACCATTGCTGGTGGGAATGCAAAATGGTACAGCCGCTTTGGAATAGAAAATTAAGAAACAACTTACCAGAAAACCTAGAAATAAGTTTCTTATAGATGACACATTGATAATAAAAGTGAATTATCTTGAGTTTTTATACAATAAATTTTGGAGGAAATAATAGTTTTTGATTCAATCATGGGGACGTGTTATTATATTATGTATGAAGATATGCATATGTCTCTATTATCTACTAACCTATCTGTTCTCTCTACTCCCAGTCTACTATTCTTTCCTCCTGCACTTCTCAGCCTTTTTCTGTTATTATTTCCTTTGTATTTAGAAAGATTCCTTTAGCAGTTATTTAAAGGTAGATCTGAAGGTAACAAGTTCTCTGTTTCCTATGTCTATTTCCCCCTTTGCTCAATTTAGTACCTAAGTTTGCCAGTTCTTTCTTTTCAGCATCTGAAATTACATTGTTCTTTTTGATCTTCATGGTTGCAATGGAAAACAGTCAAATAAATATTTTTGGGTAAGTCATAACACACTTGGCTTTGAAGAAGTGTATAGGAATCAGTTCTAGTTTCATGTCCTACATTTATGGTAAGGTTAGGGGCTATGAAGTGATAACTAAAATACTTTCATCAACTTATAACTATAACTCCTTTTAATTTTTCTTTATATTGAAAACAGATTTTTTTCTCATGTAATATATCCTGATTATGTTTTTCCCTCTCTATACTCTTCCCATTTCCTTCCCAATTCCCCTTCCATTTGGATCTACTTCCTTTCTGTCTCCCATTAGAAAACAGACAGGCTTCTAGGGGATAATAATAGATAAAATATAATAAGATAAAATAAAATCAACACATTGGAATTGGACAAGAGAAATAGTGAAAAAAGCCCTAGAGAAGGCACAAGACTCAGAATTTTAACACTCAGTGATTCCATAAAATTATTAAGCTGGAAGCGATAATGTAAATGCAGAAGACCTGGTGCAGACCCATGCAGGTCCTGCCCATGCTTCTTGAGTCTTTGTGATTTCATATAAGCTATGCCTGTGTAATTTAGAGGACATTGGTTTTTTTGGTGTCCTCCTTCCCTTCTGGCTCTTACACTCTTCTTGCCCTCTCTTCCACAGTGTTTCCTGAGCCCTGAGGGGAACAGTTTGATGGAGACATCCTAGCAACTATAACTCCTGCTATAAGACGAAAAATTACTTTGATACACAGAGTTTGAAAAAAATAAAATAATGTTTTGATTGTTCATTTTATTAGTTGAAAATAAGAAAGCTTATTTTCACAAATAAGTCACAAAAGCCAAATAAGGAAAGTCATATGCACAGCAGTGAGGACTTTGGTTTTGTTATAACTTAACTTTGTAATTCCCTTGCCAGTCTTTGTAACTGGGAGGTAATATTTGCTCATGGTTTGGTGTGTTTTGTGAGGATTAATTTAGATCATGAGAATTAAGTGCTGAGCCTAGTGGTTAGCAAATTAGTTGGCAAACAATTACAAATGATACTTAGAACACATTCTGAGACTTGCCAAGCTATTTCCTCCTGTTTTTGAGAATGGAGGTTTATATGAACATAGCTATGCTCATTTTTAACTTATTGTCTGTGGCTGCATTTGAATTATAATTCTCCAGTTGAGTAGTCTCAACAGAGCCTATTCTGGTATTAAAGTAAAAACAAATAGCTGACCTTGTGGAAAGTTCATTGATTCCACGTAGAAAGAATAAAAGATAAGAAAGTTCTGTATGGCTAAGCAACTAAGTAAAAAGCCAATAGCAATGAAAGTTTATAATATTTTTTACATGTGTATAATATTAAAGAATTAGAAATTGTAGTGAGGATCTAAATAAAAGAAGAGAACTCAAACCTTACCAACTCCTTTCCTACTATACCACACATATGCATTTACCTGTAACAGGAAGAATGAATCATAGGGAAAAGAGATTATGAGTCAACACACGCACATCCATAGATTAAGGGGAAGACATTACTAGAATTGTGACAAGAACAAAGGAGAGAAGAATCAATTAAGTAGATGGAACTCGATGTTGCCTCTGCCCCAATTAATTCTTGTTTTGATTAAACATTATGTTGTGGAACAGAACAGTAGATGAAGTAAGCTATACATTTCTATTGATTTAATAGTTTATCTTAATTTTATAGGTTTGTAGAAGTTCATTGCGATTTGTTTCACAAACTGTCCTAACGCAGAAGACAGGCAATCCTGCCTTTCAGGTGCACATATAATGTAGAACCTCTTGCAACAGCTGGAATTTATAATCTACAAATTTGATAACTTTATTTACTAATAACATAGACATAGATAAACAACCATAGTAAATGAGAGGTAAAACTTACACATTATTGATGCTATTGGACCATAGGTGTAACGGGTTTCATATCTAGTTGAGAGAACATCAGTTGCAATTCTTGAGACCTTTAACTAGGGAGAAAAGTGAGATTGGATTACAGAATACTATATGAATACATTTTTTGGAGTTAAAAACTAATTTTATAGGTTATTTAGTACTGGAAGTTCAAAATAATGTAAATGACTAGGTAAGAATATTATCAAAGTGCAATCAATCAATTATATGGAATAATGTTGTATTTTATCTCTTTCTCTTTATTCTTTCAAAAAATAGTTTAAAGATTTATTTATGTAAGCATATAAATGTTTGAATGTTTTGCCTATATGTATGTATGAGCATCACACTGGTGCCTGGTGCCCATGGAGGTCAGAAGAGAGTAACTCGTGTGAGAGGGCCTTCTGTCTGTGTGTTGCTTTTATTGGTTAATGAATAAGGAACTCCTTTGAGCCTATGGCAGGGAAGACAGAACTAGGCAGGGAAAGCTAGGCTGTATGCTGGGAGAAAGAAGGGCAGAGTTAGAGAGTAGCCATGGAGCCACCGAAGACAGATGCTGGGAACTTTAGCCAGGAAGCCACAGATGCGTGGTGATACACAAATTAATAGAAATGGGTTATAATAATATGTAAGAGTTAGCCAATAAGAAGTTAGCACTACCAAGCAATAATTGAGTTAATATGGTTTCTGTGTGATTATTTTGGGTCTAGGCTAGCCAGGCAGCTGGGAACCAACAAGCAGTTCTCCTCCAACATGTAACTGAAATTACAGATGGTTGTGAGCTACCATGTGGGTGCTGGGACTCAAACTCTGATCATCGTCAAAAACAAGTGCTCTATACAGAGAAACCATCCTTTTAGCCTGGTGTGTCCTTTCTTTCAGATTCTCTTTTGAATTCATATATTCAAAAATTATTTTCTTCCATCCCTTTCCCTGTAATAAGTCCATTATTGATACAAAACTACTTGTGTAATAGAAGAAATGTAGTTAATTCATTTTTTAACTCTTCATTGACTAAACCTGTATGTGTCATGCATGTGTGGGAAATTAATATAGAATACTGCATAATAGCCAGACAATTGACCACTGAACTGCATCTCTAGTATAGCTTACTTATCATTAAAATGGTCCTGTTATACTAGGGTTTCTCTGGTCATGGCACTTATTCATATTTAATCAGTTGTTTGTGGTAGGAAAGTAATTGTTGAAATGAATGCCAATGAACACAGTATTTAATATATTTGAACTCCGAATGAATGCTTTCCATTGCTATGTATAAATGTATTTGATTAAGGAATTTATTTTACTTAATATATAAATAAATATGCTGCTGTGTAAAAACTTTCAATTTACTCAGAAAGACTTGCTATGTATATCTGTGTGCATTTTAATCCCTACCTTCCTTTCTGTCATATCTGCAACCGCCTTGCTGTACCTGCACAAATTAAATAACTTATGGCTTCAGTTTCTTAGATTGGATCACACGCTACAGTGCAGTTACAGAATACTAATGTATTTTCTTCATGTATAGATGGAATTAATGGTTGCTTGAATCTCAGATTTAGCTAATATTAAATGCCACTGTAAAGAATACAATTCATTTTTAATTAAATGCATGCTAAAATTTAGAAAGATGTAAACAAACATATTAAGCAATGTCTGTACTATGGTTATAAATGATCACAAGAGAATCTAATAGTTTTGACTAACTGGAATTCATTTTGTTTTACATGCAGTTTTACTGTTGTGCATCAAAACCATGCTCATTCATGTTGTGCAGTCCTTCAAGATTTTCTTTGACTTTCTCCAAAAGCAGTGCTCCTTTATGTTCTATATAGACTCACTGACAAAAATGAATAAATAAAATGTAATAAAATTTTTAATTAAAAAAGAATACAATTAAGTGATGTTGAGATAAAAATTATGACCCAATCACTTTCATAAAGTATAATTTGTGATCCTAAAGAAGCTAAATAAGAAGGTGAACCCAAAGAAAAACATATAGTTATTATCCCTGCTATGGGAAATAGACAAGATAGATGGGCAAAAAATTGGGATCTTGGGGGTGGGGTGGGATGGGGGTAAGGGGAAATGGGGAGAGAAAAGTGAGAAAGAGAGGTTGGGGGGGAACTTGGGGAAACGGGATGATTGGGGATAAAACAAGGTTGGATAGAGGAGCAGGGAATCACATAACTTAATTAAGGGAACTGCCTTAGGGTTGGTAAGAGACATGAACATAGAGTGGCTCCTAGGTGCCCAGGGCAATGTCCCCAGTTAGTTCCTTGGGCAGCTGACGATAGGGAACCTGAAATGGCCCTATCCTATAGCCATATTGATGAATATCTTGCATATCACCATAGAACCTTCATCTGGCGATGGATGGAGATAGAGACAGAGACCCACACTTGAGCATCGGACTAAGCTCCCAAAGTCCCAATGAGGAGCAGAAGGAAAGAGAATATGAGCAAAGAAGTCAGGACCACGAGGGGTGCACCCACCCACGGAGACAGTGGGGTTGATCTATTGTGAGCTCACCAAGGCCAGCTGGACTGTGACTGAAAAAGCATGGGATAAAACCGGACTCTCTGAACATGGCGGACAATGAGGGCTGATGAGAAGCCAAGGACAATGGCATGGGGTTTTGTTCCTACTTCATGTTCTGGCTTTGTGGGAGCCTAGCCAGTTTGGATGTTCACCTTCCTAGACCTGGATGGAGGGGAGAAGACCCTGGACTTTCCACAGGGCAGGGAACCCTGACTGCTCTTCGGACTGGAGAGGGAGGGGAAGAGGAGTGGGGGGAGGGGGAGGGGGCGGGAGGCTGGGAGGAAGCAGGAATTTTTTTTTCAATAAAAAAAAAATTATGACCCAAATTTCTCCTAGGTTGTTTTGAAATGTCTGAGCCACAGCATTAACTATGTCTCTAGCTACTATGTAATTTGGGACACCAGAACTTGTATGCTGCCCATATTTTCTTCTACAGTAATTCAAGAGTTACCTATGTGTGCAGATTAACTATGTGATCATGGTGTTCTTCCTAAAGCTTATATGATCAAAATAAGATGCAGAGAAAGAAAAATAATAGTAAGTGGATCACTGAATTGAAATGATATCATATTCTTACTGACAGAGCACTATAATATTCTTGTGTTTTCTATATAGCAGAAGAATTTATTTTTTCAGATTATTAATAAAGAAAATTGTCTTGGATCTCTTTCTGTCTGGTGTCCGGAGGTTAGAACTAGTTGTCTCTGCTGCTCAATTAGGCTTTTACCTTGCATGGTTTTATAGTATAGCCCAAAGAAAGTATTAAATACTATTGTATTAGAATTCTATTTTACTGCATATATTAGAATTCTATATCTAGATTATTCAATATTAGAATTCTATTCTGGTTGGTCTAGATTCCTTTTCCTTATAAAAATTTTCTTATAATCACATATAATATTTTATTGTGTTTATAACTATCAAACAAAATATTTAAAGATTTAACTATAGAGTAAACTTCACTAGCCCTAATTTTTTGGTATTTAAAATGTGAGGTCTTGGTATGGTGGCAAAAGTGTATTTCTAGGATTTGGGAAGCTGAGGCAGGGTAGATGGTGAGTGTAAGTTGAGGCTGGGTCACATATTGAATTCAAGGCCAGTCTGAATCACATACTAAGACCTTGTTTCAAAACAACCAACCAAACAAAGTGAAACCATTTCAGCATACCTCAAAGCTGTTAAAAAATAGATTCAAAGTTAATGATGGTGTAAATGTACACACGCATATGTGTGTATAT